GTGGGACAGAACTGAGAAAGAAAGTGTCTTAGAGCGTGGTTCTCAGGCCCATTTAGATATAAATTACACTTTGATTTGGACCTCAATCGTGGAAGAGAAGCCGGATGCCATGTGCCACCTCTTCCCACCGACCTGTAGGCATGATAAGGAGAAAAACAAAACAACATTGAGCATCTACTATGTACCAGGCTCGGTTCCTGATGGTTAGTAAGATGTTGAGGAAATGGCCACACTCGGTGTGATTTGATCAACACATCACAGCTGCCCACTACAAACAGTATCTGCAACAAATCAAAAAAAAAAAAAAAAAAAAAAAAAAAAAAGAACTGTGGTGGATGAAGGGAGGCCCAAAACCTATGAGGGTCCTAGGCCAGCCTTGAGAAGAGGGCTTCCTATGGGAAGTGTTCAGCAGTGGTGATGGTGATAGCAACTAGAACTATAGTTCACATCTACTGGGCACGGTGCCACCCAGTTTCTATGTCTTACCAGTGTCCGCAAGTCATGCGCAGACTAAAAAGCAAAACATGAAGGAGATGGTTGTGCATTTTGCTAAAAGCTGCCCATGCTTTGATAATGTTGTGCATCTTAACATTTTTAGCTCAAGGGTTCTGCTTCTTAGCCCTGTAACTTGTGATATGTTTGCACAGTGTGGCTTCCATTCATCTCTGGGCACTTGTTTACAGGGAGATTCCATTGGAGACCCTCACCTCAGCCCCTGAGCTCTGAAGGCGAGGCTTAGAAGCGAGCCTTTCCCAAGCCTTCCCTACCCAGAAGCTGGTATCTTGAAAGAAAAGCATTTTTAAAAATTAAATGTTCAAGCTAGGTTTTTTTTCAGTATTCATATGTAAATTCCTTTAACTTCAGTTGCTGGCGTAGTGGGCTTTCTTCTGTTTGCATTTTATTTCATATTTCACTCTATCTTGAAAAAAGGTGTTTACTTGAATGTGTAAAAACAAGAGTATTTGTTCTCCCTTCCTGAGAGAGAGCTCCCTTCAGAGCCATCATATCTCAGGGAAGATGAAGCCGCAGGAGGGAGATACCTCTTTTCATTCAAAAAGTTTGGTTTTTTTCATACCTTAAATAATATTATTTTATGCGCTGGTCAATACTATTTCAGAAATGCTCAAGTCAATTTAAAGGTTTCAGGGCTGGTAAAATGGCTCCATGAGTAAAGGCACTTGCCCCGCTCCTTGAAGACCCAAGTTCAACCACCAAAACCCACATAAAGGTAGAAGCAGAGAACTGACTCTGCAAAGTTGTTCTTTGCCTTCCACACCTGTGCTGTGGTACACATACCTCTCCATCCTTCACATACCACACACCACACACACACACTCACGCGCACACACTCTAAATATAAGTGATTTTTAACTTAAAAAGGGGTGTCAGTGATCTTAGCTAACAAGAGATGTATTTGAATAAGACGGTAAGGATGCTGTAAGTTGAACCTGTTTGCTGTACTCTGGGTAAAGAGACAGTTACATAAACAGGAGGTGTTGATTACGTTGCTTATTGTATAAAAATCACTTAGAATGGTGGTATCTGGCATATGATTAGTAAGCATGGCATAGGTGAAATATTCCTCATCTAAACCTCCAAAATCTGAAATGTTTGAAAATCCAACATTTTTTAGTGCAGATGTGAGGCCACGGGTGATCCTGCTTGATGGTTCATTTGTGTAGGAACCTTGCTTCATGGACAATGTTATTTAAAAATCTCTGAAACTGGGCTGGAGGGATGGCCCATCAATTAAATGTGCACACTGCCCTTGCAGGGGATGGACACAAGTTAGATTCCCTACACCCATATCAGGTGTCTCAGAACTGCCTGTAACTCCAGCTGCAAGGGGAGCCAATGTCTCTGGCCTCGGAGGGTACCTGTACACACATGCAATAGCCTCACACAGATGCATTCATAATCTTAAAACAAATCTTTATAAAAATTTGTAATACTGTATATAAAGAAATATATGAAATGTGAATGAATTTCATGTTTGTGCTTAGGCCCCATGCCCAATACATGTGTGTATGTGTTCATAGTCTAAAATATGGAACAATCTATGTTGAAATATTAATGACTCCAAGCATTTCAGATAAGAGCCACTTGATCTGAGCTTGACTTAAATGTCTGTCACCCTCATTACTGCTGTTATTGTTAATGTCAACTCCCTGTGTATTCTCTGTATAGTGGGGAAGGCACAATACAACGAGCCAAGGAAGTTTGGGAGAGGATTTTTCTGAATTAGATCTGGAAGACAGAATAGCAATTGGCCAAGAAGACAAAACAGAATATCCCAAACCACAAGAAAGAAATATACCAAGGCTCAGGGTATGGAAGCCTCAGGCAGTCAAGGACATCGGAAGTTGGGAATGGAGGGTATATGCAGGGGGTGTGCTGAGGACAGACCACTGGGTTCCAAGGAGAGGAGGGGAGCCATAGCATTTATTTCCTGTTCCACAGCAGACAATGAGCTGAAGGAAAGGAACCCAGAGGAAGCTGAGGAAGACCTCAGAAACTTCCACAGAGATCATGAGTGAGCACAAAAGCCACTTGGCAGAGCAAGCTGAGGGTGGAGACCTGAATTGGTGGGGTACCAAGTAAGCGAAGGCTATTGGAGGAAAGTGGTATGTGTCACACAAGTGACTCTGCCCAGAGGCTTTCTGGGTACCAAGGAAGCATTCATCCACAGCAGAGGTCAGGCAGACTGCTTGAAGTGTGGGCCTGGAGACGTGAACCAAGCAGCGGACAGTCTATGGGAGGCCTTGGATGAGTTTTAAACTGAGGAGCAGCCTAGTCCTGTTTGTGCTCCAGCATGAGCTAGATGGAAGGGCACAGACACCAGGTGGAGAGAAATTGAGGACCACGACAAGGAGGCTGCACTCTTCCATGGTACACCCTCCTGTACGTGACTCTCCTAGACGAGCTCAGCCCCACCCTCTCTGGGGCCAGATGAATTCAAAGACTGCCAAGCAAGAGAACTACAAGATCTCTCCCAGAATGCTCTCTGAGAGCTTGTCTGACCCTGACCCCTCTTAATGTCAACTGTGTCTGGGGAGTGTTAATGACACTGTCCCAGAACCAAAGGCTTGGTTCTACTCCAGAATACATTAAGTCTTGAGAGCCACCATGATGGGACAAGTGACGTGCTTCAGTGTTTGGTTTTGTGTTTATTCTCAGTTGGTTTTGCTGCTCTGGTGTGGAACCCAGAGCCAATGAGCCACGTCCACAGCCCTTGGGAGAGCAGGGGTTACTGTTGGGTTTTTTGTTTGTTTGTTTTAATTAGTTTTTTTTAAACTAGCATACAGAGTAATAGGTTTAATTACAGAATTTTCAAGTATACTTGACTTTTGTTGACCTTTTTCTCACTCCCTTCCCCAACCCCCCTCCTCTCTGCTTACTGCTGCTCCTCCCAGCAGTCTCCCTTCCATTTTCATGACATATATTATGTATTATATTACCCTCCCTTCTGTGTCTTCCTATCCCCCAAAGTGTTTTCCCACTTTATGGTACTCTTTCTTATTCCATAAAACACGTGTGTGCACACACTCACAAATGCACACTCATGCTCATAAACACATGCACACATGTACACATTCACAAATGCACACTCATGCTCATAAATACATGCACACATGTACACATCCACAAATACACACTCATGCTCATAAACACAGGCACACATGCACACATTCACAAATGCACACTCATGCTCATAAACGCATGCACACACTTACAAATGCACACTTATGCTCATAAACACATACACACATGCACACATTCACAAATGCACACTCATGCTCATAAATACATGCACACATGTACACACTCACAAATGCACACTCATGCTCATAAATACATGCACACATGTACACACTCACAAATGCACACTCATGCTCATAAACACAGGCACACACAAATGCACACTCATGCTCATAAATACATGCACACACAGTCACACACATGTTCACCACATGCACATACATACAGACTCTCACACACATATAAAAATTAAAATCTAGGCTTCATATATGAGATAAAATATACAATATTTGTCCTTCCGAATCTACCAAGCTCTTGGATTTTTGGGGGGGGGGTCTTTAGTTTTTTTGCTTTTGTTTTTGTTTTTTTGAGCCAGTGTCTTTCTCTGTAGCCCAGGTTGGATTTCACTTGCAATCTTCCTCCCTCAGCTTTCTCCAAGTGCTGGTTCATAAGCCTGGGCTTAGCCAGAGGGGCCACTTTCTGGTGGTTTGCTGTGCACGACCTTTTGTTCATGACCAAAGTTATTGGGAAAATATATAATTACCATCAGTTGTGTGTGTGAGGTGTGTATGATGAACTCCTCCATCCCTGAAGGCCCCTCACTACAGCTTGAACTTAGTGTAGTTGGTCATGAGTGGGCCCACCAGCCCAGCAACAATGCTCACACCTCACCCCTACTTGGTGGGCCTGAGTCAGGTTCTGCAACCGCTAAGTCTCACAAAGCAACTTATCAGTGACAGATAAGGAATTAAGGATGGCAGCATGGTCACTTGTAGGGAGGGACTTGAACATAGTATTGGCTTCTGTCCCGCATCAGTATAGGCAAGTTGTACCCTGTCAGCTGAAAGGATGTGTTACTTTAACAATGACAAATGTATAGTGGAGCCCACGTGGCAATGTAGTCATCGTGGTAGGTCCAGCGAAAGGTTTCTTTATCAGCTCATGTTTCCTTGGCACACACCTTCCTGATGCCACCCTACCTGGGCTGCTGAGGAGCCTTGGTTGATGGACCCTAAGACCCATCTCCCATCCCCTCCAGATTCCAGAGTAGTCTGGCCAGGAAACAAGTTAGTAAATGTTCACTGAGTAGTGTTCACACTTTGCTGAGGCCTTAAGTTGATGCATGGTATCCAGGAGGCCTATCTCTGTGCCTGTGGCCCCAAGGTGCACACACAGGATGTTCTGGGTTTCATCAAATGCTCCCCATCTCACATCTGCTTCCCACCCTCCTTCTGCCGCAGATCCTGGCGCCCCTGTGAAATTGCCTTGTCTGCCAGTGAAACTGTCGCCTCCGCTACCTCCAAAGAAAGTCCTGATCTGTATGCCCGTAGGGGGGCCGGAGCTCTCCCTGGCATCCTACGCAGCCCAGAAGAGCAGCCAGCAGGCCGTGGCCCAGCACCACCACACCGTCCTGCCATCCCAGATGCAGCACCAGCTGCAGTATGGCAGCCATGGCCAGCACCTCCCGTCCTCCACCGGCACCTTGTCCATGCACCCCTCGGGCTGCAGGATGATCGACGAGCTGAACAAGACACTAGCTATGACCATGCAGAGGCTGGAAAGGTAACAGTGGGAAGGGGATGGCTTGAGAGTGGGTCAGGCTGGGGATGATAGAGTGTGAAGCCTCATTCCTTTCCCTTCGAAGAACATAAAAATGCTTCCGAGGAAAGTCATGTCAAACCTAAGTATTAAGGGAGGTATGGGGAGTAGTACATTTCCATTGTCAAACTACTGAGTAATCACGCTTACTTTTTGAAAAAGATGAGGAGTGGGTAAGGAATAGCCTTGCAAGCATAAGGACCCAAGTTCAATCCCCAGAGTCCATATAAAAACAGTCAGTCACAATGGTACATGCCTGCAGTCCCAGCAACGAGAAAGCAGAGATAGGCAGACCCCTTGGGCTCACTGGCCGGCCAGCCTAACTTACTTGGCAAGTTCCAGGCCAGGGACAACCTGTCTCAAAAAACAAAGTGGGAGGTACCTAAAGAATGACATCGCCGGCCTGCTCACACACATACACACACACACACACACACACACACACACACACACACACACACACACATACACACACACACACACACACACACTCACACACACACACAGGAGTAACATGTACACATATGCTCACTTTAGGCCATATCATTTCTCTAAATGTTGCCATTTTGAGAAATAATGTGCACGTGTGATCATTAATAAATGGTCTCCCCTGCCCTGATGTGAGCAAATGGGGAGAGAATAATTTTATATTTTGTGAATGTTCTGTGGTGTTGAAAATGGTTTAAATGGCACCGTTCCTGATGGTGGAATGCCGGGACTACAGCCACCTTACCTTGTGCCTGATGTCTGGGATTTCCCAACACGACTCCAAGGCACACTGCTCAACCAAGCTCCCTAAAGACAGGGAGAAAGTGTTTCCATCTGAGGTGAGGAGGTTTATCGCCAAGGGTAGTGATGGCTGTCTACTTCGATGCACAGATGGGAAAATCATGGTCTAGAAGACTCAGTGTACATCTACAGTAGAGAGTCAAACACAGGTTTACCATGGGTCACCTTTCTGCCTCCCAGCCAAGTGATATATGCTGTTAAATAGCTACCTCCAAGGGAAGCTGTTGCCTCTAACAGTTCTGACTTGATTTCTTTTGATAATAGTTACCATGTTGCCAAAGAAAAACAACAAAATTTACCTTGGTCCCTTGCCGTTGGTTCCAACTCCCAGTATTGTTAATGAGGGCAATAATAGCTTAAACTTGGAGTGACACCTTGAAATACCACACATGTGCACTGTCAACTATGTCTATCACTAGGGAAACTGAGTAAAGAAACTAGGAAAGGTTGAGTAAGTTCCCCAATGCCACCTACTCAAAGGATGCCTCACAAAATGCTCATTACCCATTTGCACCCACACTGCAGAAATTAAGAACACACTTTTCAATACTTTTATAGCAATTAGATGGGATCTTTTTGTCTGTTTGTTGAATGTTAGAAGGCTTCATTTAAAAAAAAACTTTATTGCATTTTATGAAAACATCCATTTGTGATAGATTGGAAATGAAAAGAAATAAAAAATTGATGCTTCAGGGAAGTGCTGGTGTGATGGCTTAGTGGATAAAAGCACCGGTTGCTCTTGCAGAAGACCTGGATTTGGTTCCCAGCACCCACACGGCAGCTCACAACTGTCTGTAACTCCAGTTCTAGGGGATCTGGTGCCCCCTTTTGGCCTCTGTGGCACCAGACATGCATGTGTTCCATATACACGCAGGAAAACACTCATACACCTTCACAGTGACTCTGAAAAGAATTGTTATTTTCACAGACATGTTTAAAAATCAGTGTCCTGTACAGCAGGTTGAGGGAGCAAGCCTTCAAGCCTGGGTCTTTCTACCCCATGTCCCTAACTCTCTCCTGTAGCTCTTTCCTTAAGACATCAGTCCTTTCCTTAATCACGTCAATCCGTGTGAGTTTTGGGTTACTACGACCACCGTTCAGGGTATCAGTTTTTGTGACTCAGATAAATTCTGATTTTCTAAAGAGACATACTGGAAATAGCATATTAGGGTATTACTAAACATATTTTCACTTCAAACACGCCATTTCACAGTATCTGTGGGTATTTGTGGAATGTTTCCCTCAAGTTTAGAGCCACGGTACCTCTGTATTGGAGGTACTGAGTTGGAATCTTTAATAAAATGAATCAAAAGAGAGCAGACCAGGACAGAGGAGACAGGGACTATCTACACACTTTGCACCACCCTGAGCCCTGCCGCCTCCTTGTGCCTCCTCAACTGTCACGCAGGCCAAGGCACAGGGTCCCTTCCTGAAGCAGCAGCAGCAGGACAAAGAGAATCAACACATCCATCATCTTGCAAGATGTCCTGAGAGAGAAAATCCTCTTCTCAAATAAATACAAATTGGAGAGATTTTTAAGCGTCCATGTTGCCTTCTGGGAGTTGGGGAGGACTCTAAGAGCAGAACAAGGTCACAGGCCTCTTTGTCCTGTAACAAGAGAACTGTTGTCTGAGGTAATGCTTCTCACCCTTTCACTACCTGAAACTTCCAACATGGTGTCAGCCTTCCCCTGTCCAAGTCTCACAGAAAAGGAATTACTCCCTGTCCGCCTGACAGTTGCCAGGGACCCCAAGTGATACTGCAAGAAGAAGAACTATTTCTAATGTGACAGCTGTGCTTGGGAAGAGCCGTGAGGCTTCCCACAGTGGGGCCATCACTGTCCCCTGACTCGTGTAGAGCATCATTGCAGAACTGTAATCCGATTCTGATGCTGTGTCACTGTGGGAATCAAATGAGGAACTAAACAGCTTTGGGTCTTGACACGACTTTTGTATAAATAGTCATCTTGCCTGTGAAAGGGAACTTGAAGGCAGTATAGACAACTAACCCCTGTCCATATCACATTTCTGATTGTCCTCTAATCCCTGCTTTGGGGACCCTGATGAGTTCCAATCCCTCATTCTCATTCTGGAGATAGTTTGATTAGGTGATAAAGCTTTCCCTGTGTAACACGGACTTCCTTAGCCTCAATTCTGGTCTGTTTTTCCCAGGAAACGCTTTCAAATCTTTCAAAATACCTGTAGTGTTCTCTACATAAGGGCTTCTCTAGACCTCTTGACATCTTGTGCATGTTCCTCTGAGATGACCTTAAATCTTCTCAGATTTTTACCCATCTGACCCTGCCATGTAGTTTATTTATAGTTTAGGCTCACCAGGTTTGGGGGTAAGGGCATAGAGCACAGGAAATAAAAACTTGCATGGTCTGTATTTATCCACAGTCCCTAAGACGGTTCATATTTGTCTCACCTCATGGTCGAGTGAATGTGTTCCAGAATCAGGATCTGTATCTCAGACACACTGCTTATCAGCAGTGGGAACTGAAGTGTGTCGCATTGTCTCAAAGGGCTCTCATTCCTCGTCCATAAAACAAGGATAACACTAACAGACCAGCCCCATTAGGGCTCTTTGTGAAGATCAAATGATTTAATCAGTCCTAATCAGTCAGATCATTGCACAGCATACCATAAATGTCCAATAAACGGCAGTGAGCACTAATCAAAATTATATAGCACATAAAATTTTTCTCCGGTGCCTCTAAAAAGCACATTGCAAATGGATTTGATCCAGTCTTGTTGGAGACTCTGTGTGTGTGTGTGTGTGTGTGTGTGTGTGTGTGTGTGTGTGTGCACTTTCACCAGTTTCCTTGAATTACACGGTCTTTATTTCTCTCCATGGGTGGTTCACGTCTTTTTGAAAAGTGACGTTTTACCATTTTAAGTGTTATGTGGTGGTTTTTTTTAGTTCTACTCTCTACAATAAGCTCTGTGATCTAATTGGCATTTCCTGGTAGAACTTGGACTTTCGATTTCGGCCAGCCACTCACTTTTCTGAGGTCAATCCATTCGATGATCTCTGTGCTCTCATTTCCTGTTGGCAAAATGAAGTGGGATATGAAGGGATTCTAGAAAGGTCCTCAAAGGACTGTGTTTTTAAAGAAGTCTTTTCTTCCTTGATTAAAGGCAGGTTTGTACCTAGCATTGCTTACACAGAAACCCAGGGTCATCCATGGCAAGCCCCATGTCTGACTGTCAGCAAATCCTATCCACTCTGCCGTGTGGAGGTGTCTGCATCAGCCGCCCTGCCCCCTGCTCCTGACACTCCCTCTCCCAGACCTCTGTTGCCCTCACCTGTGTTGCTGCAGTCCCATCCCACCCTGCACCTGCCCCTTCTCCCCCTCCCCACCGCAGTTCTCAGAGAAAGAGTGAGGCCCACTCAGAGGTTAATATACATGTTTGCCAGGGGATGCCGCGAGAGGTCCACAGACGGGGTGACCCAAACAACAGGGACATATTCTTTCCTAGCTCCAGAAGCTGAAAGCCCAAGATCATGGTTCCAGCATCCAGCAAGGGCCTCCTTTCTGGGTCATCTCAAAGGGGGAGATGAGAGGGTGAGAGTGGTCAGGGGTGAGAAATGGGGTTCCATCTGTTTTATGATGAATGTCCTCTCATAAGGACTCTACCACCTTGATCATGACCATCTATTCGTGAAAGCTGAGTCCTCGTGATCTAACCACCTCTCAACATGGCTGCACTGGGGGCTGGGTTTCTAGTGAATGGATTGGGGGGAACACATTCTAATCATAGCCCCTAGCCGTGGGAAGATCCATCAACAATTCTTTGCTGAATAGCTGTTGTGGAGCGGATTTTGTGTCTGGTGCTGGGAGAGCATGAAGACAACAGAGAGGAGAGCTTGTCTCAGCAGAGCCTGAAATCCCTGGGAGGTCAGGCTGAGTGAGTCCATCTGCGAAGGGTACAGGGCGGCAGCCGTGCTTACAAGAGGACTCTCGGCTGTCTAAGGGGAGGGGCGCCTCAGGGTCGTCTTCTCTGTTAGCTAAAAGAGAAGGGTGGCCGGATGATGCGAGAGAACATTCTAGTCACTTCAGAGGAAGTAGCAGTACACTCTCTCCAAATGGGTGAATGAGACTTTCCATATGAAAAGGGGCTGAAGTTGGCAGTTAATGCTCCAAGTTTTTAGAAGGTTGGCCGTAGAAAATG